CTAAAGGGAGACTGCGACCATACAAGAGGCCACAACATCTTGGTCTTGATATCTTCTAGTAAACTGTGTTATGCCAACAATGCTCAATGTAGTTTTGGCTAAAGGGCACACCACACTACATTTACATAAGCAATGAAAAAATTGTGAAAGTAAAGGCGTGATACGAGGATATAGGAGAGGTGAATAGACCAGGACAGGAGAGATACCACAACTGTTTATCACACATTTGGTCAAAGGATCGGCTTCACTTGTCTCTTTGACGAGTTGTTGTGTGGTGTTAAGAATGGCAAGACTCACTGACGATGCCTTCGAAACATCTGGGAATGTACCGCGTTCACGGTCCGACTTTGGAAATGATGATGCATACAATGGACTCCTGACTAAATGCGTTCGTCTAAGTCTTCCTACCAATATGACCAAGTTGCGAAAAAAAAGTCAAACAACTTCTATACAACGAAAGTATACTGCGACCTCATAAAAAGCCACACAATCTCGGTCGTCATATCTACAAATAAGTGTGAATGCATTGTACGTAAACTGGGCTAGAGGCAAGAAAAACGCGATGGCAACAAATGGCCAGCAGATTAAGGGAAAATCGGCGTCAGTTTAATCTAAAATCCCATTTTTCGCATCCTTTTCACCCTCATGTTATCAAGTGCTTTCCTCATATGACCCCGTTTTTGGACATCGTTGTGTCTCGAACTTCGCATGACAAGTTAGGCCAGCAGAGATGCCGTTCCCACACATTTGCCCATGAGACTCAAGTTAGTCTAACTCAGTGTATCGATCTGAGATTATGTCAACTGTCGCATCTGCTCTATGCAAGATGGCAGTGGCGACATTAGACAGTTTAGCTTCTTGCGTAGACGCCGAGGCAGCCAAAAGTAGCCTGTCATTGTAGGTTCAAGTGACTCGACAAACAGCGGCTTAACAAAAGCATAGTTTGTTTCAGAGATCGACGCTTTGCTATCGACTTGAGCATACCTCGGGTATCCGAAACCGTGCCGATGAATAACTCGACTCGAATGGATCGGCTTCAGGTCGTCTTCATTACCCACCATAAAACACATCCTTTTCTCTTGCCACCCACCCTCCTACCTGATTTAGTTTGTTCGCCTCAAATATCCTGCCGGCAGATCTTTTTTTGTTGAGCCTACTTCCGTTTCGAGTGGAAGTGTTGGGTGAAGAGATTCGAAGGTTGGTTCCACCAGAAGATAACGGCGGATTCCTCTTGACCAGCTGCCGATTGGCTTTACTGGAACATTCCTACTGACGCGGTTTCCGAGGTAATCTCCTTCGATTCCGGTGAAAAGGTGCTAAGCTTTCGTCCGTCATATGACGAACATCATCAGAACAAGGTAGCATCGTCACAACAAAATTCAAGTATTAAGTGATTTGGTTAGTTAAGGTCATGTCAAACTCGATGTCTGTGAGTGCGTCTGTCTCTATATGTGTATGTGCCTGTTTGTGTTCGCTTATGCCCGAAACCCGCAGTGATGGCTCAAAGTAATTGGGACAGCAAAGAGAAACGTCATCAAGATTTGATGACCCCTATCTCCCGCTTTCTACATTTAAGTTATAAGCATCACTCCGATTGCGCAAGGTCGGACACTCGTCTGGTTTTGTTGATGTGCCTATTTTTTGTTTTTGGTCTCAATGCGATAACAATACCGGAGGTATAAAGACCAAGATGGTGTGGCCTTTTGTGTGGTCGCAGTCTCCTTTCGTTGAATAGAAGTTG